CTCCCCCTCCTCCTCCTCCTCTGCCCTCATCTCCTCCTCCTCATCCTCCTCCCCTCCTCCTCCTCCTCCTCCCCCCTCCTGTGCCTCCCCCTACTCCTCCTTCCGCCTCTCCTCCACCTCCTCCTCCTCTTCTCCGCCCCTCCTCTCTCCTCCTCCTCCTACTTCCCTTCTCCTCCTCCTCCCCCTCTCTCCTCGTGGTTCTCCTTCTCCTCTTCCACATCTCCTCTTCCTCCTCCTCATCCTCCCTCCTCCTCCTCTCCTCCTTCCTCCTCCTCCTCCTCCTCCCTCCTCCTCTCTGGTCCTCCCTCCGCCCCTCCCCCTAGTCTCCCCTCTCCTTCCCTCTCCCTCCCTCCCCCCCCCCCTCCCTCATACGCCCTCCTGCTCCACCCAGTTCCTCTCCTCACCTCGCCTCTCTGTCTCCTCCCCCATGAGTGCCTCCTCCGCTCCTCCTACTGCCTCCTCCTCCCCTCCTTCTCCTCCTCCTCATCATCCTGGTCACTCCCTCCCACCCTCCCCCCGCCTGCCCCGTCCCGCCCCCTGCCTCCTCCCCATCTCCTCTGCACTCTTCTCCTTCCCTTCCCCTTTCTCCTCCTCCTCCTTCTATTCCTCCCCTCGTCTCCTCCTCTTCCTTCCTCCTCCTCCTCTCCACATCCTCTCTTCCTTCGTCCGCTCACCCTCCTCATCATCATCCTCTTCCTCGTCCTCCTCCTCCTCCTATTCCTCCTCCTCCTCCTCCTCCTCATCATCATCGTCCTTGTCCTCGTCCTCATCCTCCTCCTCCACCTCGTCCTTGTCCTCGTCCTCCTCCTTATCCTCCTCTCCCTCCTCCCCTTGCGAAAAAAACAGATGGCCCACGACCAAAGTGCTCGGGGAGTGGTCTGGGCTGCTCCCCAAGCATAGGGAGCTGGTCTAGGCTCGTCTCTATTCCTCTCTCTCTCGCGCGCGTTCTCTCTCTCTCTCTCTGTCTCTCTCTCTCTCTCTCTCTCTCTCTCTCCCTCTCTGTCTCTCTCTTATCTTTTTTTTTTCTCTTTCTCTCTCTCTCTCTCTCCTTCCCTCCCTCCCTCCCTCACTCACTCCTACCTCGTACCTCATCCTGCCCTCTTCCCCCTCCTCGTCACACGCTTCCCCCTCCTCCTCCGCATCGCCATCATACGTATCCACATGATCATGATCATCATCATCATCATCCTCAGCATCATCATCATCATCATCATCACCATCATCATCATCATCATCATCAGCAGCAGCATCATCATCATCATCATCATCATCATCATCATCATCATCATCATCATCATCATCATCATCACCATCATCATCATTGTCATCATCATCAGCATCACCAGCATCATCATCACCATCATCATCATCATCAGCATCATCATCATATTTATCGTCATCATCATCATCATCACCATCACCACCATCATCATCAACAACATCATCGTCATCATCATCATAATACTAATCATAATCATCAGCATCATCATCACCATAGACATCATCATCATCATCAGCATCATCATCAGCAGCATCGTCATCATCAACAACAGCAGCATCAGCATCAGCATCACCAGCATCGGCAGCAGCATCATCGTCACCAGCATCAGCTTCAGCATCCTCCTCCTCCGTAGCATCATCATCATCATCAGCAGCACCATCATCATCCGCATCATAATCACCATCAGAATCACCATGTTGCTCACCATCATCATCATCATCATCATCATCATCATCAGCATCGTCGGAATCATCATCATCCGCAGCAACAACAACAGCATCGTCAGCATCAGCATCATCATCAGCATCCTCAGCATCATCAGCAGCATCATCGTGTTCATCATCATCAGCATCGCATCATCAGCATCAGCAGCATCATCACCATCATCAACAATATCAGTATCGTTACCACCATCACCACCATCTGCATCAGCATCAGTGCCGTCATCCTCATCGGTATCATCACCAGAAGCAGCATCAACAGCATCAGCATGCCATTACCAGCATCACCAGAACCAACGTCATCTCCATCATTTGCAGCTTCGTCGTAATCGCCACCACCACCACCATCATATCAGCATCTGCAGCATCAGCAGCATCATCAGTAGCGTGATCCTAGTAATCGTCAGCATCATCATCACCAGCATCAGCATCATCGTCAGTACACTCATAGTCATGTTCATACTTATACTCATAACCAGTATCATCAGCGATATCATCATCATCATCATCATCATCATCAGCAGCAGCACCATCATCAGCATCATCGTCATCATCAGCATCGTCACCAGCATCATCGGCATCATCATAAACATCATCAGCATCAGCATCATCAACATATTCGTTCAGCATCCTCATCCTCATCAACACCATCATCATCAACATCACCATGATCATCAACACCATCATCATCAGCATCACCATGATCATCAGCATCATCAGCACCATGGTCATCAACATCATCATCAACATGATCATCAACATCATCAACACCATCAAC